CTTTGTTCTTTAGCGGGCTTCTTGGTGCATACAGGTTCCTCAACTTTGACTGGTTCTTCAGAGTCAAGATCTGATACATTAACACTACAGAATAGAGATGCAGCACAGACATTCAGGTAATCATCAGAATTATGCAGCATACTAGAGTTTTCCTAACTGAAAATAATCAGTATCAAGCACATGATTCATCTTATTATAATTTTATAGCTAACATTTTTTTCTATCCCTACCCCTATTGTTCATGAAGATCTGAAAAGTGAAGAGAATGCTGAAAGTCAAGCTGCCCCCAAATCTTCAGTAATATAATTGTACTTACCCAAAAATGATGCATGTAATTCATATGCTAAACATCTTCATCACTTATCCTACTGGCTTCTCAAGGTCAATATGTATAAAGTTGAACTGATTTTAACTTCCAAATAACCTCTCTTCCTCACTTCCCTATTTCTGGACATGAAAACATCAGTCATCTTATACTTCTGTTTTTCTAATTTATCCCATTTGGTTGCTATTATCAGTCCCTCCCTATTGCAGATTCATTTGATTTGCCAGCAATGAGCATGGGTCACCCTTAGATTCAGTCCCGCCCAATTTTTGGAGAAGCCTGTGAGAAGCCTGATATTGCTCCTACCCAACTAACAAAGGAAGCCTAGAAAGAGACTGTAGCTTCTAGGTTGTTTAACTGCCAAGGAAGGAATGGACCTCTACTGCCAGCAGCAAGTCAAGTCATGCTGGCTTGACCAGTCCAAAAAAGAAATGGGATAAGGAAAGAGCACATCCAACCCAGAAGTAATGTGAACCCCAGGGAAGGCAGGGAAGTGAGTCTCAAGATGATAGCTGAGCACCAGACACTGAAGGCAATCATATCTGAGGAGATGAACACATTGTGGTTGTCAAGATGAAGATGCTCCATGTTATGGTACCACCATCTTTAAGTGAATCCCAACATGAGGCTCCATGGTGAGCCTGGCTGATTCTTATCTGCACTTACTGGTCTTGACCCTGTGCAAAGGATATTCCTGATTTCTCCTTCATGCCCTACCGTATAGATTAGCTGAAAATAAACACCTCAACCTACAGAAAGCTTCTGCTTTGATCTAGCCTTGAAAGCTAAAGCCAGGCCACAGTGAGTTTAGAAGATTCCTCCTATTCCCTAGGCTATATTCCT